CTAAGTCACTTGACTTTGTAAATGACATTAAATAGGACTCGCCTCTTGGCGCTAGCGATCACGTTTGCTTGTCTTTCCAGTGTACCCTTATCAGGCCTTGCCAAGCTACTACCAGTTGGTATCCGAACATTTGGGCCGCGGACTTCCAAGCGATGCGGGATAGAGCTAGGTCATCGCCTTGTGTGATATCTGAGACCGACACTGTTCACATAGCCTGGGAAAAACTTAAGGCTCACCTCGTCGACATTTGTGCATGTCACGTCCCACTGGTAAAAAGAAGGGAATCGAGAATACTGAATACTGTATTTTGGAGCAAGTAGAAAACAATTCTGTACAACTCCATCGGGTGATAATCAAAAAACATTTAAAAAAAATAAATAAACACGTCTGGTGTTTATCCTGAGATGGTTCAGCAACTCCTTCTGTAGCACACAAAATGCTTGTTTACACAGTGAGTCACAAGTGGGTGATATCGTTGTCAAGTGGCAACCGTTCTCTGAAACGTATGTTAGCGAAGTGTACATCCAACAAAGATTTGAATTTCTGCACAGATTCGGCCTCGACGACGTGTTCTGGCAGACTGTTCCAGGCGTGCACAACCCTCCGCTCGAAACACAGGGGGTGTGGGATTTTCTTCAGATCAGGTACCACGAGTTTGTACCTGTGCCCACGTGTGGTGCATGGTACTCGCAAGTGGAGTAACGACCTTAGCATGGGGAAATGACCGAGATGTAAAATACGGTAGGTCATGATAAGATCCACTCGAACACGGCGATATGACAAGGTGTAGAGCCCAAGTTTCATGCACCGGTCTTCATACGATAAGCCTCTCAAGCTGGGGATCAACTTGGTGGCGATGTGTTGTACTCGTTCGATCTTTTGCGCTTCGCCGCGAGTGATCGGACAATATGCAGGCGAGCCGTACTCTACCATTGGTCTGACGATGGAAGAGAAGAGGCGAGTGGCGACGTCCTCAGACCAAGTGCAGAAGCTGCGTTTCAGCGCCCAGAGCATGCGCAGTCCGTTTCGATACAGTTTGTTGGTGTTGTCGACGGACTTCAAGTCGCAGCGTGAGAGTACACCTAGGTCTCTCACGGAAGGTGTGGGATGCAGTGGTTGGCCGTCTAGGGTGTACGTTCGTCCGTGAACAGCCTTCCCGAGACTCATGAATAGGGACTTGACCGGGTTGACCGGTAGGTGGACTTCAGCAGACCATACTGCGAGGCGGTCGAGGTCTTGTTGGAGAATGTCACAGTCATCGAGAGTATTAATTTCTCGCCAAATTTTGAGGTCATCCGCAAACAGTGCACACGGCGACCGTAGAAGCTGGGGCAGCTCGTTGATGTGGATGAGAAACAGAGTGGGTCCCAGTACCGTACCTTGAGGTACACCACTGGTCGAGGGATACCAATCGGTTAGATGGCCGTCCACCTGTACCCTCCACTTTCTTCCAACGAGAAATTCATGGATCCATCGATGTAACGATCCTCCGACACCACACGACCTTAATCTGTCTAGAAGCAATTCATGATTGACTTTGTCGAATGCTTTGCTGAAGTCGATGTAGATTACGTCGACGGACTTTCCCCGGTTCAGTGCTTGCAACCATTCCTGTCTCGTCACAAGTAAGTTTGTAACACAAGAATATCCCATCCTGAATCCGTGTTGTGCCGGTGTCAGAAGTTCTTTCGATTGTAACAGATGTATTAGACGCTTTTTTACTATCTTCTCGATCACTTTGGCCAAAACGGGTGTAAGACAAATTGGCCTGTAGTTATCCACCTTACTGGGGTCGCCACCTTTCGGGATCGGCCTCACCACCGAGCGCTTCCAGTCGTTTGGCAATGAGCCCTCAGACAATGATTTGTTAAATAGATCCGTAACCACAGGCGAGATAATGGCAGCTAGTGATTTGATAATTAGCGGATGAAGCCCGTCAGGCCCTGCAGGCTTGGTACCGTCAAGGTTCGCAAGTAGCAGGCGCACCTCGTCGACATCACAAACCAAACTGTTGAGGTCTACAGGAATGTTACTCGCTGAGATGGGTACGGACGCCGCGTCGTTTGCAAACACGGAAGCGAAGTGAGCGGCCAGTGCGGACGCGCGATCGGAACTGGAAGTTAGCAGGTGTCCGTCCGCGTCTTCCAGACATGACACGTCACCTTTTGGCTTCAAACGGCGTTTCACGTAAGCAAAGATCTTCTTTGGGGCCATCCTCGCGTCAGTTGCAAGCTTTTCTTCGAACTTCCGGCGCTTTATCAATTTCACTTTGTTGCAAATATTTCGCTGTCTTTTATATGCTTCGTAATCAGTGGCGGAGCCAGAGAGGCGAAATGCGTCCCACATTCTTCGTCGTAACCGAGCCAGCCTACCATATTCCTTGTCCTACCAGTGTGCTTTGATTGGCCCGACTTTCTGAAATTTCAACGGCACAAACTGAGAACAAAGCAAAGCCAATCCTTCCTTTATTACTGTCCAACCGTCCTCCACAGATGTAACATGCGGTAGAGACCAATCCATTTGGCTCGCTGCTCGATTTAATCCATCGAAATCAGTTTTCCAGTAGTTGTAAGCTGGTTCCACCGGAGATACACTCGGCAAGTTCAGTTCCATAGTGGCTGTCAGCACGGAATGGTCGCTTTTAGCTAGGGGCTCCTGGATTCGTATGTCATGCAACCGCTGTTCGCAATTTGTCACCATCAAATCAAGGCACGATGGGTTCGAACGCGCCGTCATGCGCGTAGGTTGGTATATGTGTTGCGGTGCCCCAGTTTCAAGCAACAAATCAACAAACTTTGATTCGACTTCAGAATACCCGGGCATGAGTTGGATTTCAGGCCATTGAATGTGGGGACAATTGAAGTCACCCATGAGTAGAAAACATGGACGACTCATGTTGTTCCGAAGATGCGGTAGCCAATCTAAAGAGCGGTTCAGAGGGCTACGGTAGAATGCACCTACTGTCAGCTTGCCGAGCCTGAGGTTGATCGAGCACCATACCTGTTCACACAGTCCATCTTCACTTCGGTACACGCTTACAAGCCTCCCACGCAGGGAAGACCGTATATAAAGTAAGACACCACCACGAGGATTTGATATTCTATCGCAGCGAAAGCATGAGTAGCCACTGAGATCGACTTCCTCTGCCATTACCTCAGAAGTTAGCCATGTCTCCGCCAGTCCTACGACGTCTGGTCGCTCAGAGGCAACGAAGCGACACAGCTCATCCCGTTTGTTCATAAGGCTACAGATGTTTGTGAATGCAACACGGAGGTCCTGAGAGGCACCGCGGGACGTGCCTTGAGGTTGATCAACCGACTGATACGGGTTCGTGCACCCTTCTTGATCACTCGAAAATTTACGATGTGCAGATCAGTTTCGCCTTCTTCTGTACGGCGTTTAAGCTCAAGGATCGCAGTCTTCAAGCGGTTCCTCTCTTCGGGTTCCAAGTCTCGGCGGATGTGAACCCTGGTGCCTTTAAGCCTGGAGAGACGAGACAGAATGAGTTGTGGCGTGCTGTGGTCAGCAAAGGTGATTCTTAAAGGTCGACATGATTGATTAGTATGCTGACCAAGTCGGACTACTTGTTTTATCGTTACGCTGCCTTCACCCACATCCAACAGTTTATCAACGAGCCCCTGAAGGAACTCAACATCGTGATCATAACGTTTCTGAGGGTTTTCATCTTTTGACTCTGGTGCATAGAACACCATGAGATTATAACGCCTCAGGGAGATCGGTGACGAACTTGAGGCAGCAGGAGTGGAGGGGCTTGTGGTTTTGGACGGTCGTCTGTCGTTAGGGAGAGGTTGAAAGTTGTTGCGTGAACTTTTGCGTTTTTGAATGATCCATTTATCTTCAGTGTTCAGAGGTTCACAGGTATGCGCTGAAAGATTAGGGGGCTCCGACTCTGAGTCGTCAATCTGTGGGGAACATTGGTTGTGAGAATCGGTAGGGGTAGAAGACGCTGGCGGTGGTGCAGATCGTGGAGTTGTAGGGGAAGGGGAGTTCACAGAGGTACTCTCACGAGCGCGTTTGACCCCACGAGCTGAATGAAGTGGTTTCGTCTGGGAGATGGCTTTTCCCGGAGCCGGTAGTGATGGTCTCCGTATATTTTGTTGTAGTAAACCGCGGCATTTATCACACACAACTTGGAAAAATCTATGTCGGATGTCAACAGATTTTCGGAAAACTTCCACAGATAGGCCGATACACGAAATATGAAACAGAACATCACAGCCGAAACAACGAAGTGCATGGGCCTTTTGTCCTACAACTTTCGAACATGAGCCACAAGTAGATTGGCACGGCATCACACGTTGGAGCAAATCCAAGATGGCGGACACAGACGGTAATTTGCTTTATCAACAAGTTCTCCGAAACAAGTGAGAGAATGCTCACCAAATTTTCACAACTTGAAGACTACACCAAAAAGAAACTTTTTGGTACACAATTTACACAGATGAAACACAAATAACACAGTAATCCAGAAGCGAAAGTAGAATCCAGAAGCAATGCTCAAAAATCCGCGGGGAAGGGCCTGCTAAAGAAGCGGTCTAGATGCTGGCGAGCTTACCGAACAGCTCCGTCGAACAGCACGTTTGACAAGTATCGGTTCGTTCGAAATGAGTGCAAGCTACATCTTAGGTTGGCCCGGCTTCAGTATGAAAAGGGCTTAGCTAATACTGCCTCGAAAAATCCCAAGAGATTCTTCGCTTACGTTAAACGACGCTGTGGTGCAAACTCGCCCATTCCACCATTGCTTCGAGGAGATGGGACCCATGCTTATAGCGACTATGACAAGGCGTGCGTGCTTGGTAAGCAGTACTCAAGCGTCTTTGTCCGCGAGACAAATACGCCATGTAAAGAGTTAGCTCCAAGAGTCCCTGAGGACTGTTGTCTGGATGAAATTCCTGTAACGGAGTCCCAAGTTCTCCGGTTGCTAAAAGAGGTGAACCCAACTAAGGCTTCTGGGCCAGGTTCTGTTCATCCAAAATTGTTGCACGAATTGGCAGGGGAACTCAGTGGACCTCTGACTTGTGTGTTTCAGAAGTCACTCAACAGCTGTATCTTGCCTACCGAATGGAAGGAGGCTGTTGTCTGCCCGATTTTCAAGTGCGGTGATAAAGGCCTACCGGCTAATTACAGGCCTGTCAGCTTGACTAGCGTGGTCGTTGAGTTACTGAAAAAATTAGTACGAGATACAGTGGAGAACCATTTAAATAGGTTTAACCTGCTTAGCGTCGAGCAACATGGTTTTCGCAAAGGATTTTCGTGTCAGACAAACTTGCTGGTAGCTCGTGAGAGCTGGGCTGAAGCCGTAGACAGTGGACATGCGGTGGATGTGGTGTTCATTGACTTCGCCAAGGCCTTTGACACTGTCCCCCATTCGCGACTCTCACTGAAGTTGAGGTCGTATGGAATAGCTAGTCGCGCTCTCTAGTGGGTGTCAGCTTTTCTGGCTGGACGGGAACAGTGCATTCGTGTGGGAAGCAGTCTTTCGTTTCGACAAGCTGTACTTAGCGGCGTTCCGCAAGGCTCTGTCCTAGGTCCGCTGCTTTTTTCTGTCTACGTGAATGACTTGTCGGAGGAGCTTGAGGTACCATCGCTCTTATTTGCTGATGACCTAAAGCTCTGGAATATTGTTGATATCCCTGGAGGTCCTGTTGCTCTTCAACGGGTTCTGGATAGACTCTGGGAATGGTCTGTCTTGTGGTTGCTGCCTATAAACCGGGCAAAGTGTTCAGTGCTGCGTATCGGTGCGTCTGATTTCCCCACAAGCTATGTGCTCGATGGGACTGTACTTCCTCACGTGACTCATAAGGTTGATCTAGGTGTCGTCCACTATTCCACATTACACTCTGGAGACAACTGGAAGAAGGCGGCTAGTAAAGGGTTCTGGATGTTGTGGTTTATCCGTCGTTCTTTTGGGACCCTAACCGTTGATGTGTTTGTGAAGCTTTTCTCGGCGTTTGTGCGACCCCACCTAGAATATTGCGTCCAGGCCTGTCCACCATGCCTTGTCCGGGACAAAATGGCACTAGAAAGGGTGTTCCATTCTGGATTGCCGCTCGTACTGGAGTACCTCTGTCGACTCTGACCATGCCTTGGTGCGCTGTCGTTTCTCCATGAACTTTACCGGAAGGCGCACAAAGCGTCTCCCCCGATTGGCAACGGAGAAATTGTCCCAGCCCTTTGTCAGGCAAGCCTATCAAGAAGCACTGCATAGCGAACTCTCGCTGTCTTGTCCTAATGATTATGAACTTCAGTGGAATAAGATCTCGGCCACTATGCACGACGCAGGAGCATCTGCTTGTGGCACTATCAGTCGTCATCGCACCAGTCACTGGATATCCGAGAGGTCGGTGTACCTGTTGGAAGCTAGAAGGCACCCCCTGGCTGGTTCTGAACACAATGTGACCAGACGGGCTATTAGGTGTGAACTAAAGCGGAGCCTACGTGCTGACAAGGAAGCCTGGTGGACCAGTCGGGCTCAAGAAATGCAGGAGGCAAGAGCAGTAGGCAATTACCGGAAGCTCTTCCAACTAATACCCACCACTGGTCCGAGAAAACCAGGCGTCAGTGAGACAATCAGGGACAGCGCGGGTGCGCTGATACACAATAAGGAGCGCCGTAAGGCTCGTTGGGCATCATCATCATCATCATCAACAGCAGTACATCAGCCATTTGAACTGATGCTTCGCTGCCATACAACCATGAGGACCTATGAAATAAAGAATAAGAAGAGGGAGAGAAGGGGGACTTACCTGAAAACCTTAATGCCCTAAGCAAACATTCAGGGTCAAGGCGCCTATACCTTGTGTTAACAACATACCGTCACAAACAGCTGGCTATTGTGCAAAGATAAGGCGGCATCGGCGAGACAGCTTCCTTGCGGCTTTCACTGCCACGCGTCATAATCAGCCATTACCCCGCAGATAACTCAGCACCAAACACACTTTAAACAGACAATCCGATTAGGAGACGGCAGCAGACGCGCCACTGGTGTCGGTTGCGAGTCATGTCCTGTAAAGTCTCGAGCCAAGCACAAGGTGAGTCACGTGGACTCCAACCCGGAAGGCGAGACGGACCAACGGCACCCAGTTTGGTCGTCAGTGACTTCATTTCACGCTGCCAAGTCAACTTCTGTCCACCTCGAGCCTTGCGCCATCCGACACCTGGTAGACTGAACAAGGCCCTCCTAGGTAAGCGGTGACCAGGCATACGTAGCACGTGCCCGAGCCAACGTAACTTATTCAGTGCTATCTGTTGTTCTAGGGAGCTAGCATGATCATCACCCCCTAGTACTCGCCTACGCACATCATCGTTGCGGACACGCTGGTGCCATCCGACACCAGCAATGCTTCGCAAACAACGATGATCAAGGACTTGAAGGCGCCTCAGATCTTCAGACCGAAGGGGCCAAGTTTCACTACCATAGAGCAGAACGGCCCTCACTGTGGCCTTGTATACACGGCCTTTCAGACGGAGGGAAACTCCCTTCTGTCGCCAAAGATGACGCAGGTTCAAGAAGGCAGCTCTGGCCTTTGCAATGCGTGAGCTAACGTCATTTTCTATGCGCCCATCATTGCTGATGCAGCTGCCAAGATAATTGGATTGATCAACCACCTGGAGTTCCTCGTTAGCAAGCGTCAAGGGGTCATCGAGTGGCTGGTGGTCCTGCAGCAACACTGCATTTTGAAGGTGCGAAGTGCATACCAAATAATGGGACCACTCTGGATAGGCTATTCAGGGTTGATTGTGCCGCCTCAACATTGTCGAAAAGCAAGACGATATCGTCCGCATAATCTAGATCAACTAACTGTTCACCAGGCAGCACTTCAACACCTACATCGTGAGATTCCGCAAGGGAACACTCCATGATAGAATCCACGACGAAATTGAACAAAAATGGGGAAATCGGGCAACCCTGTCGAACGCCACTTGTAGTCGAAAAGCTATCCGATAGGGCACCATAGACCCTGACGCGGCCTCTAATGTTCGAGTATAGAGTACGAAGGATGTTCACATATTTCGTGGGAACACCTTTCCGCGCAAGTATTTCGAACAGAATCGATCGATCGACTGAATCGAACGCACTCTTGAAATCGAGGAGCACAGCTATTGTCGGTCTGCGGTATGCGTGGCGCTGCTCTAGCACCTGCCGCAAAGTAAATATATGGTCTATACAGCCACGTCCTGGGCGAAAACCGGCCTGCTCTTCTCTAATCCGAGATTCCCGTTCTGCAGTGAGGCGACGAACGATAATGGAGGCCAGTAATTTTGTCACAACTGGCGTTAGGCTAATACCCCTGTGGTTCGCACAGTCTGTGCGACTGCCCTTCTTGTATATTGCCACTATAATCGATTCGCTCCAATTAGCCGGCACACTCTCTTCGTTCCAGATACGTTCGAATAGGGAGGTCAGTGCTTTGCAGAGGACCTCACCACCATCCTTAAATAGTGCAGGTGGGAGGGAATCCGGGCCAGCGGCACGAAAACGATTAAGGGCTGTGATCGCGTTAGGCTCGTTGGGCTGAGCACTTTGAACATCAGTTCAGCTGGCCCCCTGCTCCCGGACCTCTTCCTACTCAGGTGATGCAGGACGAGCCATGGACGGTTAGTTTAGAGCCTCCGTCGGAGGCAGAAGTCCGAAACGCGATCACAGCCGTTAATCGTTTTCGTGCGGCTGGCCCGGATTCCCTCCCACCTGCACTATTTAAGGATGGAGGTGAGGTCCTCTGCAGGGCACTGACCTCCCTATTCGAACGTATCTGGAACGAAGAGAGTGTGCCGGCTAATTGGAGCGAATCGATTATAGTAGCAATATACAAGAAGGGCAGTCGCGCAGACTGTGCGAACCACAGGGGTATTAGCCTAACGCCAGTTGTGACAAAATTACTGGCCTCCATTATCGTTCGTCTCCTCACTGCAGAACGGGAATCTCGGATTAGAGAAGAGCAGGCCGGTTTTCGCCCAGGACGTGGCTGTATAGACCATATATTTACTTTGCGGCAGGTGCTAGAGCAGCGCCACGCATACCGCAGACCGACAATAGCTGTGTTCCTCGATTACAAGAGTGCGTTCGATTCTGTTCGAAATACTTGAGCGGAAAGGTGTTCCCACGAAATATGTGAACATCCTTCGTGCTCTATACTCGAACACTAGAGGCCGCGTCAGGGTCTATGGTGCCCTATCGGATAGCTTTTCGACTACAAGTGGCGTTCGTCAGGGTTGCCCGATTTCCCCATTTTTGTTCAATTTCGTCGTGGATTCTATCATGGAGTGTTCCCTTGCGGAATCTCACGATGTAGGTGTTGAAGTGCTGCCTGGTGAACAGTTAGTTGATCTAGATTATGCGGACGATATCGTCTTGCTTTTCGACAATGTTGAGGCGGCACAATCAACCCTGAATAGCCTATCCAGAGTGGTCCCATTATTTGGTATGCACTTCGCGCCTTCAAAGTGCAGTGTTGCTGCAGGACCACCAGCCACTCGATGACCCCTTGACGCTTGCTAACGAGGAACTCCA